TGAATTTTGGGACAGTTGTACGAAATCAAACCTGCGGGACTGCTTTTTCAGTAAAGGGTTGCTAAAAGCCCAATTGAAAACTGAATGTTTAATGATACACCTAAACTTTATTTTCGCCCAAAAAAATTTAATATTAAACTTTTAAAGTTTTTCAATTTAGTACTAAACCCCAGCCATTGAATTGGTTCAATTTACTATCTTTTCGGTTGGACGTCAGAAGGTGTTTTCAACGCACCCTGAACTGCTCATACTGTTATCCTATGTTGATTTTTTTTTTTGCCCACAAAACAGTCTACTTCTTTTATTAATATCAGAAACCCAACTATTACAAAGTCATCACAAAAACAGAATACAGAGTAAGAGACAAAAAGACTCAGTCTGCATTCCCCTATTTAAACAAGAGGAGGGGGCGCAGGTAAACCATCTTTATCTAATATGAACATTAAAGAGGATGGGGGCAACCGAAGCCAACCCAAATTGCACATCCCCTTCACAGCTTCTGAAGTTGCCCAATGCGCTGCTGCATTACAAGTTCTACGAATCCATTTAAACTTCTTGACAGGAATTTGCTGCATCAGAAAACGAATCTCCTGGACAATAGGACCAATCTGCCAATTACAAGTAGTTTTAGAATCAGTGACACCTGTATAAACTGTTCGGCAATATGTTTCAAAAACCACTTTATCAAACTTCCTCTGCACAGCTAATTCAACCCCTTTCTTAAGAGCATAAGCTTCAACCATTTCTGCAGAATTTGCTTTTACTGATTCACAAGCCCCATCTAACAGCCTGCCACCTGAATCACGAACAACAACTCCAATTCCAGCCTTATGAGTTTCTTTGATAAATGCCCCATCACAATTAATCTTCAGCCATCCAAACTCTGGTTTCTGCCAAGATTGTTTCCCATCTGCATTAACCTCAGTATCCTTTACCAAATTATCAACTAAAACATTACCATTGTCTAAGCCTGAAATACCCAGCAGCTGATCTCAAAGCAAAGTTAACTACTTCTCCAGGCTGCACATTCTTAGTACCAAAGCTAACTGCACAACGTTCAAGCCATATACTCCAACAAACATATGCAATTAGAGAATCAGCAGTTTTACAGTCCTTCCCAGACTCTTGTAATTGCTTATGTATATCTAATAACCAATCCTCAAAATGAATGATATGCTCCTTCACTACACGAATTCCCAATACAGCAAACCAAATACCCCGAGTCCAATCACACTGTACTATCATATGTTCCACAGTTTCTTCATAAGAAAAACAAATAGGGCAAAGAGGATTGTCCTTAAGCCTACGCTTCCATAAGTTGTACATAGTAGCTACAGCATTATGACATAATCTCCACATGAAAACTTGTAACTTACTAGGGATTTTAAGATTCCAGATATACTTCCAAATATCTACATTAATTCTATAAGAAGAAGTTGGTACCTGATTATTCCTCATTACTTCTACTTGTTTCATGACTTGGTAACCTGATTTAACAGTGTAGTTACCATCTTTCGCATGAATCCATTTCAACTTATCACACCCTTCCCTTCTACCAAGAGGAATACATTCAATAGCATCCCTAGCTTGTACAGTAATCCATGGTTCTATCTGCTGCAACTTTCAAACTCGATTTTCTGAGTCTATAATGTCTTCAACATGTTCTGGTAACTGAGCTGGAATATTACCAGAATGATCAAGTCTTTGATTTACAAGTCCTGGTATCCAACGATCCTCCCAAATCCTTATATTCCTTCCATTATTTACTTGCCAAATTAAATGCTCTTTTAAAAAGTCCCTTCCTTCAATCAAACTTGCCCAAGCCCAAGAAGCTCTGGCACCCTTTCTAGCAGAAAAAATATCTCCAGCTGGAAAATACACACTCTTCACCATTTTAACCCAATAAAGCATCAGGATTTTCTAACATCCGCCAAACTTGTTTTGCTAACAAAGCTTTATTAAACAAAGCAAGGTCTCGTAAACCCATTCCACCACAACATTTCGCCATAGTCATTGAAAACTAGCTTCTCCAATGGATTTTGCCTCCTTCCTCCCTCTGTCCCCACCAATACTTTGCCATAGCAGAGTTAATATCATCACACAATCTCTTAGGCAGTTTATAGCAAGCCATAACATAAACAGGCATGGCACTAGCAACTGCCTTAATCATTACCTCCCTCCCTCCATAAGACAGAGTTTGCTGCTTCCAACTCTTTAATTTGGTGAGAACTTTTTCCTTGATAAATCCCATGGCATCATACTTAGACTTGCCCCAAAACGTTGGAATTCCCAAATAAGTACCAGGATTGGCAGCAACTTTGATTCCCAAACAGTTCTCAACCTGCTGCCTTTCATCTTCTGGGACATTTGAGCTAAAGATCAGCCTTGAATTCTCCATATTAATGCTTTGACCTGAAGCTCTACAATAGTCCTGCACACATGAGATCATATTTCTGCAATTTGCCAGATTAGCATCAAAGAAAAAAAGGGAATCGTCAGCAAAAAACAGATGAGTAAGCATAGGGCTCTGCCTACTCAACTGAATACCAGAGATAGAACCATCAAGTACCTTTTGTTGGACTGACCTAGACAAAACATCAACCACAAAAAGAAAAAGATAAGGGGATAAAGGATCTCCCTGTCTAAGACCTCTAGAAGGAAAAATATTAAAGGCTTGCTTACCGTTTAGAATTAGAGAGTAAGAGACTGTACTGACACATTCAAGTATCCAGCTGACCCAAAGAGGGTCAAAACCAAGTTTTAAAAGCACACTTCTCAAGAAATCCCACTCCACCCTATCGTAGGCCTTATTCATATCCAATTTCATAGCCACTTCATACTTCCTACCCCTCTTCTTCAACCTCATATGATGAAAGGCTTCATTGGCTATCAGAATATTATCATGAATCATTCTCTGAGCAACAAAAGCACTCTGCTGTTCAGAAATCAACTCTCCCAAAAAAGGTTGCATCCTATTTACCATAACCTTGGAGATTACTTTGTAAATAAAATTACAAAGGTTGATTGGCCTGAAATGAGAAACTGATGTAGGACCCTTAATTTTTGGAATAAGAACAATATCTGTTCTATTCAATTCTCTCAACATCCTCCCACTCCGAAAGAAACTTCTAACAACTTCACACACATCCTTCTTAATAACATTCCAACATCTTTGGTAGAAAATACCACTAAAGCCATCGGGTCCAGGTGCCTTATAAGCACCAAGTTGGAAAACAGCATCACGGATTTCATCATTAGAGATCTCCTTGACCAATTCCTCATTCATCTCCCTGGTCACCAGTTGAGGAACACAATCCAAAATATCACCCCAATCTCTCCTACCATCAGTTCGAAACAAAGTATCATAATAGTCAGCAAAGCTCCTGATAACCTGGTCTTCCTTTTCACTCCAAGATCCATCACCATTCTGAATACGATAGATCTTATTAAAAGCCCTTCGTTGCTTAGTACTATGATGGAAAAATTGTGTATTTCTGTCCCCCAGCAGTTGACTTTTGCTCTTTGATACCAATAAACCTCTTCTCTGTGCCAAGCCTCTTTCACTCTTTTAACAATCTCCTGCATAACTTTGTAATCTTCTTCAGTTTGTGCTTGTTCTTTTAAACTAGCAACCTCCTTTTTTAGATTTGAAATAACCTTCTTATTGTTCTGTACAGCATCCTTACACCACTGAATCAGTAGAGATCTACACTTCTGCAATTTCCTCATGAACTTGAAAGCCATAGTGCCATCCACCTGCTCACCCCATCCTTTTCTAACAACATCCATACAATCAGGATAAGTAAGCCAGGTGGCTTCAAATTTGAATCTTCTAGGGGCCTTTTCCTCTTTGTAGTCAGTATCCACCAAAATAGGAGCATGATCAGAACCAAGAGCTTCCAAATTGAAAATCTGCATCTTCGGAAACAGAGACTACCACTCCAAATTGACTAAAGCTCTATCCAATCTCTCCTTACCACTTCTCCCTCCCCAATACCCATCCAAGTAAACAACGGACCATGAGCCTTAATATCATTTAGCCCACAATCATTGATGAAATCCACAAAATTATCCATCAATCTCCTCTCCTTACTTCTACCCCCTTCTTTCTCACTACCCACCATAATGTCATTAAAGTCACCTATACACATCCATGGTTCAGCAATATATCTAGCTTTCCCCTTAATATTGTCAAAAACAATCTTCCTATCTTCAAAAAAAGGAGCCCCATAAACCCAAAAAATCCGAATACATCTACCAGTATCAGAACAGACAAATTTAGTATCAATAACATTCTTATTACCCGTAATGACCTGCACATTAACCTCACCCTTCCACCATAAGGCAAGCCCCCCACTAAGACCCTCAGGATCAATATACAAACTATTATCCATCTTACACCCCTTCCTCAAACATTCCATCTTCTTAAAGCCATTTTTAGTCTCCATTAAGAAAATAACATCAGGATCATGATCCTTAACCATACCCTTAAGCACATTTCTTGTCAAGGGTGATCCTGCCCCTTGACAGTTCCATGATAGCAGCCTCATGGAGATCGTGTGGTTGTTCCAGGCCAGCCACCACCGCCTTGTTCAGCATATTCCACCACTTGCATGGCATCTTGAAACACCTCCTTATCCAGCTCTGCCACCAAACTGCAACTTACCTTAACAGGCACATTAATGAGATTATCCTCAGAATTCCTTTATCTCTATTTTTCTACTATTTCTGCTCCAAATTCTCCTCCCCCCTCTAGCAACCCTTTTTCCACATTTGCCAGAAGCTTTACCACCTTTTCCACTAAACAAGACTTCTTGACAAGCAGTTTCAACAACATTAATCTCCTTCAAAACCTCCACTTTTTGCTTTTTCTTGCTGACTTCATCAAAATTACCATCCTCCCTTCCTTTCCTAATCTTCAATTTCCTAAGATCAGCAGACAACTCAGAATTCACCACTTCAAGACTCTGACAACCCTTACCATCATATTCTACCAAAGCCCAATTCTGTCCATCTTCCAAAACATCGTTATTATTCCCAGCGATCTGCTCCCCCACTAAAGGACTCTCAACCACATACTTCTCCAGTTCATAAGTCCCCTTTTCCCTGTTATCTCCTGCATTAAAATTCCCCAATTCTTCCAGAACATTATTCAATTGATCATTATCCGCACAAAACTCTTCTCTCTCCTTACTTTCCAAAACACCTGTTTCATTCGGTTCTAATATTTTTAACACAACATTACTATTTTTGCTCATAAAATTCTCAGTATCTCTAACCAACCTTAAATCTCCAGTAACATCTTTAACATAAATGTTCTTTTCAGCTACAGAATGTAAAGAAAGACTATGAGAAATACCTTTACTCAAAGCACGATCCCTAGCTTTCCTCTCCTCCAGCCTATCTTTCCAGTTAGTCCCCTGAATATCATCTTTCAGCATGCTCCCTTGAACTCTTCCCAAAGTTAAGCCATCTGATCTGCTTAAACCAATGCTATTCTCCCCTTCCCAATGCTTCTGAGATCCACGAGCACTATTAACCTCATCATCCTCCCAAGCACCAATACTACCACCAAATCCTGAATCCAACCTATTAAAACCCCTTCTAGGCGGCAAAGCTCTCATCTGAGGCCCAAATCTCGGTAATTCTAACAGTTCAGCTCCACAAAACTTCAAAACATGGCCTAACCGTCCACAATTGAAACAAAAATCCATCAATCGTTCATATTTAACAACTGCCCAAATTCGATCCCCATTCTCTTTTGGAACCCAAAAACCATCAACCAATGACTCTAAAATGGGAAGAGCAACTCGAATGCGCAAATACCCCTTTCCAAAACCAACCATACTTGGATCTTCAATTTCAATGAGCCTTCCAATCTTGTTCCCAATCCTCTCAGCATTAGCTTTATTCAGCACCATCAATGGAAGATTATGAACTTGTACCCAAAAAGGAATTTCTTCAATAATGACTTCATCCGCCGCCTGCGATTCCTGCCACTGTTGAAGTACAAAACACTGACCCATGATGAGTCACGGACCATCAGCAATCGCCCTCTCCATCGCATCCTGTTTCTTGAAAGAGATGCTATATTTATTATCGCCAATCTCTCTGATGCATGGCGCTACAGTTTCCGGCCAAATGTTCCTCAAAATAGCCTTGACACCTTTGCGATTTAGAACTCGATCTGCGATTATCCTTCCGATCACCACAAACTTTGATAATCCAGATCCATTCTCAGATCCACATTCTAAATCAATCTCCATCGTACCACAAGAACCTCCAAACGTGATATTTCCAAGAAGTGAGAACAAAACTTGATACAGTCACAAACTCTCTGCTGCTAAACAAAGAAACCAGTAATAGATTCCTTATCCTAAAAAATCAAGAACAAAAAAGAACAAGAAAAACCTAGAGATCCCCCGAAAATGATCCCCAGAAAAAGAGAAAAAAGACGCAAAACCTAACTCCAACAAAAGATCACAACAAGCACGAGACAGACTACAAACAAAACAATTAAATCGAAAAACAAACAAGGAAAAAACAAGGAAAATCAAGAAAAAACCAAGAAAAAGACGCAAGAAGACTCAAGAACTGACCCAGAAAAAAGTAACTGTCTCACAAAAGAGAAAACCGTCTCAGAGAGAAAAAAGACTCGACACGTGCGAGAAAACTCCATACTGAGATATTATAGAGAACGTTATCCTATGTTGATTTAAATTGCTCAATTTAGTACTAAACATTTAAAGAAACACCCAATTAGCATCAAACCTTTAACGTTGCTCAATTTAGTAATAAATCTCATTGAACACTAGCAAGTTTGAAGGCTTGGTAGTAAATTGAGCATTTCCTTGAATGATTAGTAATAAATTTAGATCCATGTAGATAGTTACAAGTGCGAGGGGAACACCTCCTGAGGTTTGTCTCAAAAATGTGCTAAATTGAACCAATTTGGTCAGGTTGAATACTAAATTGAGCAACTTATAAGGTTTTGCACTAAATTGAATGTTTCAGTAAACGTTTAGTACTAATTAATTGAGCTTTTAGTCTTTATTAATTCATATACTAATGACTTCCAAACAAAGTTGTATAAACTTGAGCCCTAGTATATATACTATATATTATTTGAATACCCTCTAGAATTTACTAATAGATCCTATCAACTTTTAATGTGGGAGAACCTTTTTGTCATGTTTTAGTCTTTTATATCATGGCTGATTACTTTAAAATCCTTCCAATCTTTAACACTTTTGCTTGAAATGAATTGTCTTTATATGTAATTTTAGCGTTGGGATATAATTAATGGTACCCAAATCAAGCCCTAACTTCCTCCAATAAATCAAGAACTGTTTCACATTTCCCATAATTTTTACTCTGTACTATTGCAATACTTATAACAACATAAGCCACCGCCTCTAGCACAATAGAACTAAACGTCGAATCACAACCCCTAACATTTACCCTCGGTACCAATTTCCCTCTTGAATCGGCTTCCCCTCTTCATATCGACCCCAGGCATATAGACAGTAGACGAGTTTCAACCTCTCGATCTGAATCGAGCGGGAACCATCTTTTAACTGTGAAGAGATGAATTCAATACAAGTTAAGCAGAGCTGGTAAATATCGAAGAAGGGAGAAAGAGAGGTTTGTTGTTGTTGGCTAGGTTTTTTAATGTGAAGATGTCTGTAGAAGTTTGGAAAAGACTTGGAAAGAAAGGGCAAGAACTGTGTGGCGAGGGATTGAATGGCGGTCGGGTCGGAACCCGCGAGGGATGAGATTGGACGGAGGTAATCAGCGATGAGAGAGAAAAGGGTTTTGGCGTCATCGCAGGTTTTCAGGTTGGCAAGGAGGGAGGATTCGGTCGGAGGAGCCATGGAGAACAGAGAGAGGAAGGAAAATGGAGAAGCCCGCCACTTAAAGATTTAATTCAAAATTTTTCGCCAAACTGGCTTAAGAAGAGGGAGGGAAAATAAATGAACGAAAATTATAAAACATATATATATATGGTTAAAATTGACTAAGAAAGGTAGTGCATGGTCGGTTTTAATTGGTTGAATTACTGTTTAAGTTTTTTTGTCATTTAAATTGTCCCTTAATGGAGGTGTTTTGGTGATTTTAAAAGGAAAAAAATTACAAAACCATGCCGTTTGGTCATGAGGGTCTGGTGAGACTAGGCTATCGGCACCCAAAAACAAGAAAAAGAAAGAAAAATAGACAGAGAAACATAATGGAAGAGAGATGAGAAATTCCATGCAAATAAATTATTTATCCAAAAGAAGAAAAAGAAAAAGAAATTCCTTGCAGGCTGAAGCTTTCCCCTCCCTTGTCTCTCCCTTCCGGTCTCCTTCCTCCTTCCTCCATATTTTCTCTGTTTCTTTCTCTCATATTTTTCTTCAGTTGCTCATTCTTCCCCTTTTTCATGTTCCCTCTCCATCCTTTTTTTTTACTTCTCATCAACAAACTTGGGATTCATGCCATTCGACAGGAATGAAAGCTTGGGATTGAGCAATTATCTCTGAAACAAAGGTCGAACCGGCTTTGCCTAACTCGAAGATTGACCATGCATGTGGGTCTTCTTTATGCTTTTCAATTTGTGTTGGCTTAGTTCTGTATTTGATTGCTTTTTCTATTATATAGTCAGGAACTTAAAGGCATTACTCAATAATGAAAAAAAAAAAAGGCCCAGTTAATCTTAACTATTTTCGTTGATTTGAATTGTAAATTAATTTTGATTTCTTATCTTTTTTTTGTGGATTTGAATGTAATTTTAACTTATTAATGAATGCTTGCTTTGGGAGAGAAGAAGGGACATGATTTAGCTTATATATGCATGGTTAATTTAGAGTTAAATCTTTGTATATCTATTATATAGAGAAGGGATCCACTTACACCCTGTGTAAAATAAGAGTTTTACACTCTTAATTTTTGGACCCTTAGATTTGTTTAATTTAACCTCTAATATTACGCCAAGTTTTTAACATAATTTTCACTCCTTTTTTTCACACGTGCTCCTTCTACTCTCTGACTCTGAGTCTCTCCCCATTGCTTCAAGTTCAACTCCATTTCTCTTTCCTCACTACATTCTCTAACTAATAATTCTCTTTAACCCCTTTCTCTTCTTTTCTCAACCCTCTCAATGTCTCAAACCAGATTCATCAAACTCTCACCTTGGTAATTTATTTCAACCAATTACAAGAATTTTGAATTTCTTTTGTTGATTATATTATTGATGCTTTTCCTTCCTTTTTTTTTTCAAAATCTATAAAATTGGAAGCCATATATACACTGTGTTTATACCTTAATTAGTTAATTTATACTTTAGGATAAATATGTCTTTGAACATGTGAGATTAAGATGTGAGGCTAGGATTTCATCTCAAAACCTAAGTGCAGTAGAATACTGCACCACCCTAATTCTATGTCAATTAGAAAAAGGGTTTATTTTTCCTAATAATGGGCCGAAATTTATTGAATAATGTTATAAAACTAATGAAGAACACCAAGAACAATAGAAAGAAAAGAGAGAGAATTTCTATTATTCTAGAGAGGAGTGAATACAGAAATTTGAAGTGTGTTGTATGTAAAATAGCTTAGGGGACTCCCTTTATATAGTGGGGTAAATCCATGTACATTTAATGCTAATCTGCTTGACTTGCAAGCAAAGTAATATCTAACGGTAGATGATACTCCAGGGAACCTTCCAGGTAATCTCCTTGTAATCTTCTTTGATTCTCTCATTAATGCTTGATTCTCTCTTAGATCCAAATGGGCTTAATATAGTTGGACTTAGTATGATATGGAGTCCATAATTCCATAACACTCCCCCTTGGACATAACACCATTATAACAACCCCTTTGGACATGTAGCTAGTGCCTCGTTAAAAACCTTAAGCTGGAAAACCCAATGGGACAAAACCAGTCATGAGGAAAAAAGAGTGCAGCATATCAAGTCCATTTGTCTTCTGGACAAATATTACATGTGCTCTTTATTGCCTCATTAAAAACCTTGTGTCGGAACCCAGTGGGACAAAATCGAACAAAAGGGAAAAAGAGTGCTAGAGCAATTAAGTCTATGCAAATGTCTTTAGGACAATTACATCTAAATGTGCTATTGTTGCCTCATTAAAAACCTTAAGTCGGAAAACCCTGTGGGACAAAACCGATCATAAGGGAAAAAGAGTTGCAACGCACTTTAAACTCATAATCGCTCCCCCTGAATTAAAACAAACAACCACTTCTGGGGTATCTAAACATTTCCACTTTTGGGGAATTCAATCTTGTATCTTACTAGCTCGTCATATACCAATGCCATAAAACGATTTCTCAAATGTTGATGCTGACAACAATTTTGGTAAATAGATGTGCAAGACTGTTGGTGGAGCGAATCTATATAACATCAACTTGTCGACTTTCTTGGAGTTCATGAGTTTAAAATTTTGGCAAGATGTTCTTGATCTAATCACCCTTAATATGTCCTCCCTTGACTTGTGGAATACAAGCAACATTATCATCATAAATTATCATGGGAGAGTCTATAATCGATTTCAATACACAATTCCTTTGAATAGGTGCTATAACAAAATCATAACCAAACACACTCTCTTCTGGCCTCATAGAGGGAGATAATCTGAGAGTGGTTGGAAGATATAACTACTAGCTTTTGCTCAGTAGATTACCAAGAATAATTGTATCGTTATAACATAACTGGTAACTGGTTTGAGAGCGAGTTTTATGCGGATCAGACTGATACTCCGCACTAGCAAATCCTACTAAACCAAGATTAGTAGTTTTCTTAAAATAACCCCAAAACTATGGTACAATGGAGATGACATAAAATATGCTTAGTAATATCTCCAAGTTGGCTAATAACTTGAAATATGACAACAAATTTATCGCAAATGCGATTTTAGGTCACATGTATTGTGTCAAATACATAAATCCCCCCGATAGCATTGAGGTATGATACTTCAGTACCAAACATATCCTCATCGGTTTGTTTAGGACGAAAAATCTAGTCCATTTGGGGATCAAGGGACCTTATAACCATAGGGGTGCTCAAAGTACTTCATTTACTTTGTGCTCAAGCTCTAAACCAAGGCATAATTTGGTTTAACCCAAATTCTCAAACTCCTTTACAAATAGTTAGCAGTTTGGGACAACTCTTCAGGAGTTCCAAATTATATCGTCGATATAAACTGCTACTATAGCAAATCCAGTTTATGATTTCTTAATAAACACACATGGGTAGATGGGATCTTTCTCTTCCT